TCCCCGCTGGGCCTGAGGAGGTTTGCTGTCAAATGGAATTTTTTCCACTAACGTCTGTTTCTCTGGCTTTTGTGAAAACTTTGGTTTCAGGTTAAACGATTCTATCTCCAGAGTAGAAAGAGATGCCCACTTAGGACAAACCAAGTAAGAAAAAAACGGAGTGAAGCTCAGAGTTAAACAAAACACGCCAGAACATCAGATGAAGGAAGCATTGCTGTCTAGCTACAGTACTGAGACACTCCCAGGAAGCTCATTTCTTGAAATACTGATGCTTCTGTACCTGGGACAGGGGGTGGTGGTGGGGAGGGATGCCACATGAAATGACAAGTGATGATCATGTGATATGCTGATTTTAATGATCTGGTAAAAAATGACTGTTTCCTGGCATGTTCCTTCCTTGGTGTCAGCTCTCATGGTCTTCAGGGCAAAATTAAGCCCAGAAGTCGGCCACCCTAAGAAGCATGAGGGACGCTCGGGGCATGAGGCAAGGCCAGGACCCTCCCCCCAGGCAGGCCAGCCTCCCAGCCCCCGCCGCCTGGGCCAGGGCCTCTCGTCTGCTCACCTGGACACACAGGGGCTACATGGGTCATTCATAGGGACAAGGACACAAGTTACAAACTAAAGCGCTGTTCAGGAATTGACAGGCCCCATGGAGTCTCACGTTTCCATGACCTATTAATTATTCACTGAGGCCTGGCCGGCTGTGGGGCTAGATGCTATCCCTTGGGCTATTTTGGTAACTGGGTAAATGGAGCGTCGTCCTCTGACCCCTGGGTCAGAGGACAGTGGTGACCCCCAGGTCTCTCCCCAGCCCCGTGGGGTGGCCGGAACTGGGGACCTTTCCGGCAAGGCCGTCTGCTCCCAGGACTGGGCCGGGGCATCAGTGCAGAGGGCAGGCAAGACAGACGCCCCAGCTTGGACGTCAGCCGAGAGGCCAGAAGCGGGGAGCACTGTGTGCATGCATGTGTCTGAACTGCTGACAGAGGAAAGGCAGGACTGTAAAGTTCAGAGAAGCCCACAGTCCCTTCCTCGCTGTTCCATCACTACAGAGGCCGCCCAGACCTGGGGCCTTGTTGCCCTGGCTGCATCGTCACACCGAACCTGCCGGTGGAGCCCGAGGCCTCGCTGAGGACAGCCGGTGCCCACCCAGCTCCAGGCCCCGGGGGAGAGGAGCTGGCACCCAAAGGGGCCTCCACAGCAGCCGGACACAGCCACCAGGGCTGCGGGACCTCTGGAGAGCTGGGGCAGTGGACAGTCTGAAACACTCTCCCCAGTCTCCGAGCAACGCTGGCCAAGCCCCACATGCATCCGTGTCCCCAAATGAAAATGGGGGGCAAGGCCCCCCCAAACACGAAGTCCTTTCCTAATCTAAGATTACAGTCTGATTCTGCCTAGAAAGAAGGTTCTGCATTTTGCCATGTCTCCTAGATTCAGGGGAGGGGTCACAGGGGGCAGCACGCCCCACGTCTGGGCACAGAGGGGCCTGCGACCTGCATACGGTCGCAGCCTCTGACTTTGCAACAAGCTGGGGGACGCAGACTCAGACTCGATGAGTTAGGTGTCCTAGGCGGGCGAGAAAGCCCCTGTCCAGCCCATACGTGTGCTGGCCTCCTCCCCGCTCTGCGTGACAGTGGCTCTGACTGACGGCCTGGATGCTCCGGAAAAAAGCCTGGCTTCCTTCTGACCAGCTGACCACAGAAGGGCCCGGGGGAGCAGCCGGTTCCCCGATGTGTGGATCGGCCTGGCCGAGGCTGCGATGCCATGGTGGGAGGAGCCGCTGTGTCGGAGGATGTGCTAAAATAACTCAGCACAGAATAAAACTTTGTGGTTACCCAGCTTTCACAGCAACTGGAGAGAGTTTTCTATTTTCACTTGTTTTATAATTATCTTCAAATTCTATTTTTACCCAATTTGTGGTCCACTAACTGAAAAAGAAAACAAACCCTAAAAGCCCCTCTTCCTACCTGCTGCCTCAGCCCGGCACGTAGCTCCTCCTTGCCTCGAGATCAGAGGACCCGCTCTCTCAGGAGAGACAGAGAGCCAGGCTGACTTTTCTGTGGGGCCTGTGTTCCTCTTGCAGCTGCACGGTGCAGGAAGGGCCTCACCGTTTAGACCCAGAACCAACCGCCCAGGTTCCGCCTGCACTGAACTCGAGTCATTTTGGGGTATTCATGCTTGGGTGGGGCTTCCCTGGTGGCTCAGATGGTAAAGAATCCACCTTAAATACAGGAGACCCGGGTTGGATCCCTGGGTTGGGGAGATCCCCTGAAGAAGGAAATGGCTACCCACTGCAGTATTCTTGCCTGGGGAATTCCATGGAGAGAGGAGGCTGGTGGGCTACAGTCCATGGGGTCACAAAGAGTTAGGCACGACTGAGCAACTAACACTTTCATGCTTAAGATACTTCAAACGCTGTTTCAAGTTTCAGAATTCCTCCAGAACATTTCAGTTCTTTCTCTTGTCTACACTGAGAGGGTAATAGCATCTTGTGCCCCAAAGGGAATGGGAGCCTAGCACCCTGGCCGGCGGCGGGGGGCACGTCCCCAGGACTGTGGCCACCACACTGAGGACGCAGACACCCTCGCTCGGGGCCACAGCCATGCGCCTGGCATCTCAGCAGCGCCCAGCCCGCACGAGGTTCCCTGCCCTACAGGACAGCACCCCTGGCTGACAGAACGTACGAGGGAGGGGGCATTCGGCTGTTATTTCTCTGCTGCTTTATTTTCATTTTCTTGGTACTTAACAGCTATTTCCTCGCCTCTGTAATGTAATGTCTTTTCCATTCAGCAATGCACTTTCTTCCAGTGGAAGCCGTAGCGGGAGGGGCTGTAAACACTATGTTTATGCCACTGGGCTAAGTGCAGGCATTGCCAACCTGCCTCCGCCCGGGAGGACCTGAAAGGCGGTGGCCTGGGCACTGATGGGGCCCCTGCTGTACTTCTGAGTCAAGCCGCCAACCAAGTGGGTATTGATTGGCAATGAGTGCGTGGCTGTGAACATCGCCTCAACATCATCCCGCAGACTCCAGGCCCTGATTGCTGCGTTGGTGGACGGCCACTTGTCCCTGCACCCTCCTGCCCATAGCTTTATTTTTTATTTATCTAAATGGAGTAAAATACAAATAAGGAGTGCCTGCTGCCTTACCTCTGGCCTGCACCATTCCCTAAATGACAGGGCTGGGAGCCCGGGTCACGGTGGGGCCTAGACGGGGGTGGGGACCTCGAGGCCTGCCACTCTCAGGGACAAAATGGCAAACATGTGTCCGGCAGGACTATCACAGGTTACAGCACAGGGCCCAGCAAGCAGTGTCACAGGTGTGACCGAACGCTGCCGTCCACAGAGACAGCCCACCTGGGAGCTCAAGTTTATCTCCAGGGCTGGAGGATGGTGGCAAGGCAGGTGAGGTCTGAGCACCAGCTCTGAGGATGCTAACTGCAGCTAAGCAAGCTGGCCTCCCAGGGTGTGTGCAGGGGAGTGGCGCCCGGAGCCCACACCGCTCCCGCTTCCCCCACACTGCCCTGGCCCTGACACCCCATGGCAGGTGCCCGCTCCTCCGTTCCCAGCTGACAAGTGGCAGGTCCTGGCCAGCGTCCCAACGTCGGACCCAGGGCCTGGCCCTGGGCCCAGTGGGGTGGGCAGGCCATAGAACTCGCATCTTGAAGGGACATGGCGAGGACACCCCTGCAGGTCGGGGACCACACTTTGGGAGCCACTGCCTCCAAGGGTCCCAGGCTTCAGAGAGGAAGGCACAGTCTTTAGAATCAGCCTCTGAAAACTCCAAGCCAGAGCAGAAGCTGTGCAGACAGACCTCACTTGGACTGAATCTGAACGTGGCCCAAGGTGACCTCGGTCGAGGCTTCGGGGACAGGGACCGTGGCCACATCTGGGGAGCAGCCCTGGGAGGCGGGATTCTGGGCAGAGAAGGGATGCCTGGGGGCTGGGGGACCGTTCTGAGCAGGGGGCGGGCAGAGGGGGCTCTGTTCCCGCGGGGGTCGGGGGGGGGCAGAGGGCCCTCGGGCTGGGTTTTGACTCTCCCCAGGGCGGAAGCCCTCTGCCTGTCCTCATGCAGGGTGTGAGGCGCCCGGCACATGATCTGGCTGTGCAGCGCCTGTGGCAGGAATCAGGGACGAAGGGCAACAGAGCCGGATGAGAGACCGAGGGGGATTCTGAGCAGAAGCTTCTCTGCGGCTCGACCAGCCCCAGACGTTCATTCTTACAGATTGTTACAGAAAGGTCCTGGAAAATGGAGCACTCTTATTTCAAAGCTCTTTTTATTCTCTTTAAGATTTTCCTACTCCAGGACACCTTGAAGTGATGCAGCATCAGGGTCAAGTCTGTTAAGAGCCTAATTTAGGTGGCAGCCCCAGCCCATGCTGCCCACTGACCACGGGGCACCTCCTTGGGCATGCTGTCTCTCCTTCGCTTCTCTCGCCTGTCCTTTATGAGTAAGGCATGCTCGGGGACCCACGGGGGAACGGGGCAGCATCCCTCTGGACAAAACAGCTGCCTGGCTGTGCCCTGGTCACTGTAGCTCCCACCAGGAGTCACAAGCAAAAGCTATGGCCACTCGCCCTCGTTGGTGAAAAAACATTTGGCAGCAACACCATCCAGCGGGTCCTCCTAGCTCCCCCAGGTCCAGGCGGGTAACCCCAACACCACCATCCAGGGAGCCCTCCCAGCGCCCCCAGGCCCACAGTGGCCACCCCATGGCCTCCGGGGTATCACCCGCCCCCCGCCCCCACAGCACCTCGCTGAAGAGAAGGCTCCTCCCCAGCATTACACCCATATAGGGGCTACAGGCAGCGCACCCTCGATCTACCCCTGTCTGTACCGAGCAGACTGGGACTCAAGTGGATATAAAATATTCAGCTAAACTGGCTGGGAGGTGAAGATTTTTTTAAGAACATGGAAAGCACTGTTGGTTGTCACCGCAGAGCGGCCTCTGGGCTGAACCGGCGCCTCCCTGAGCAGGGCTGGCGTTGGTTGGAGCAGAGCGGTACCTGCACGCTGGGGTGACCCCCGGCTGATGCCTTCACGGCCCCGCGGCTGCCCTCCGTCTCGTAGTGGGCGCGGTGGTGGGACTTGGGCTGCACCTCGATCCTCAGCTCGTAGGGTCCTGAGTGTGACGGCAGCTGCCAGTCGAGAGCCGGCAGGGATGGGCTGAAATGGACACATGGAGCGTTAGAGGCATGGGCGGCTTCCCACGCCCACGGACCCGGCCTGAGACGGACGGGTGGCGCGTCCGTCTGGGTGGGTCTGAAACTCCCGTCAGTGAGGTCACTGTCCTCACACGAGCAGCAGTTAAAGCTTCAGAGTGGATGGCCAGCTGACTGTGACGGACGCCCAGACCCTCTCAGCTCTTCACGACGAGGCTCCTGAATGCAATGGAAACCTCTTCCACACTCGACCCTAAATATTTTCCTTCTTTCATGGAAGGCCTAAAAATTATTTAACCTCCCCAATAAGATGCATCTTTTTAAAATCACAGCTCTATCAGCCTGACCTGAGAAGTGGGCAGGCTGGCTCCCATGTCCTCTGCCCATAAGCCAGCTGTGAGCAGACCTGACACATGGTGGGTGTCTGATACGGCGATGGGTTTGCAGCAACCTCGCCCAGCCCCGTGCCCGTGACCCACAGCAACCAAGACCTGCAGGGCCAAGGGAGCAGCAGGCAACCTTGCCGGAGGAGCAGGGAGAGCGCCGGGCCACAGAACCTCCAGGCCCCCGGGGCAGTGGTCCCGGGCCCACGTGAGGGGACCACATCTCCATTTAGAACGTCCTATGTACTAATCTGTTCCCTTATACATACTGTCCATCTAAGTGAAAAGACTGTCCTTTGCTGTAAATAGAAGAGAAAGAGATAAAAATAAGTAGAAGTTAGGTTCATCTGACTCCCAGGAAATTAAAACAGAAAGAGACTGAGAGACAGAAACAGAAGTGGAGAAGGAGGATCGGAAGATCTGCTCCTCACCGTCCACAGAGGGCAAGGTCTCAGAGCCGCTCGGCGCTTGAGTACAGCCAAAAACAGAGTTGGGGAGTAACTTGCTCCTGAGTCACTGACAGAGCCAGCAACATGGCTGCACGCAGTTTAAAGTTAGAATGGCTCACAAAATAAATACTGTCACACACAGACAATTAAAATTATTGTTTGAGGTTAGAAATTTTCAGCATGAATCTGGCAGCTCCACAAAAATGTAAATGTACCTCTGATTCAGAGAAAAGGCCTCAACCTGAAAGAAACGTTCCAAGATGCGCCTGCCACGCCATCCTGACCCCTCGTGGCTCTCCCGCTAGAGTACCTTCCTCGGGTAACCCTGACCTGGAGCGGAGCCCCCATGGGACCCCGAACGCCTGGAGGTTCTCTCGTGCAGCAGCCCCGGCTGCTGAGCACAACGGATGACGTCAACCTCACCTCCAGCTTAATCTGATTTCTTAAAAGGTCACACTCAATGCAACGAAGAAAATGGTTAAATTCACATCTAACACCCAGCTGACCCAGCTGACCCGTGCAAACAGGAGCTGTCTTACGTTCTCCACACACACAGATGTACGTGTGTTACAATCAACCAGAGACACCACCTCCACGACTGGCTGCGCATCTCTAAGCATTTCTACATAAAAGGGATGTTGTTTTGTTCAGTTGTCAAGTTGTGTCTGACTCTGAGACCCCATGGACTGCAGCACGCCAGGCCTCCCTGTCCCTCACCATCTCCCACATTTTGCCCAAGTTCATGTCCACTGAATCAGTGATGTCATCCAACTACCTCACCCTCTTAAAAAAAAGCCAGGGTATCACATCTATTTTATTCTGTTGATATATCCCTTTTATATCTTTTTGCCTTTTTATACAGATATAAAAGGGCTTCCCAGGTGGCTCAGATGGTAAAGAATCCGCCTGTGATGCAGGAGACCTGGGTTCCATCCCTGGGTCAGGAAGATCCCCTGGAAGAGGACATGGCAACCCACTCTGGTATTCCTGCCTGGAGGATCCCATGGGCAGAGGAGCCTGGCAGGCTACAGTCCATGGGGTCACAAGAGTCAGACAGGACTGAGCGACTAAACCCCACCACTACTGACACCAGAGAGGTGAACGTCCAGTGTGAGACCCTGGCGGCCTTGCTGCCGTGTCCCTGGCACAGACCCACAGCCTCTGTCACAGCATGAACCCTCGGGGCTCCTGACGCCTCCTGGGGGTCTGGCCCCCTGCACGGGGCCTGCTGGCTGTAATCTGGGCCAAGCCTCATAGAGAAGGGCACTCGAGGCAGCGTCTTCTTGCAACACTAATGGGCACCACAGAGGTGGTGACATACACATAAACACCTGAACCCCCAGTGGTAACACCCACCAAAGTGTCCGGGCTTCCAGGTGTCCCCTGATGTCTGATATGCATCTGACTACAGGCAACGAGGGACTCCAGGCCCAGGATTGGGACCTGCCGAGCCCCTCCAACTGAGCGGGGGGGGGGGGGGGGAACAATGGCTCAGGTACCTGAGCAGACCAGGAGGCGCGGAGCCAGACTCCGACAGCCTCAGGGAAACCACGGGTCAGGGGGTCTGAACACTCACTGGGTGACACCGAGGGGTTATTTGAATCACACATTAGTGACTAGTGTAATGTCTACTGGTGCCACAATTCACGTCTAAACCTGAGCCCCCGTCTCTGGAAGACGCACACTGAACATTACTGGAAAGGTCACACAAGGTCTGGTAATGGGCGTGGGTGGGGGCAGGCAGGTGGACCCCAAGTTCCTCCGTCCGTTAGGGGTGGGTGTGGGCACCACAACTAGTCTCCGACATTGCACAAGGTTGTTTTCCTGTGACACAAACTGAAAGAGCAAATCTAAGAAACACACACTCGAGTTTCCACGGGGATCTTCCAGGCTGGAACCAGCAGGCACTCACGTTCCTTTCGGTTTACTAACATTAAAAAACATGCCACAGGAAACACTATCAGCTGTAAACCCCCCAAGCCACCCGCTTTCCCACCTTCCTGCTCTTACCCTGTGAGCTTGGTGACTATTCCCTCGTCTGGCTTCACCTGAGCTGGGCCCCCTGAGCCTTCTCCCACGAGAGGCCACGTCCACCCACGACAGAACGGTTCACACTGAATGGCTGTGCACGTGCCCCACGCTGGGGGCCATGGATGAGCCTCAGGGAGCCCTGTGCTGTGAAGTTCTCCTTCCATGTAGACCCCTGGGGCTGGAGGGGACTGCTCTTCCGAGTCCTTTCAATGTTGAATTTTTGAGAGCTAAAGCCCATATGAACCTACCACTTAGAAGAAAACTGCAAAGGTTTTAGAATTCAGCTGTTTCTAAAAGAGGTGAAGATACAAACTCTGAACTTGGCAGGGTTCAAATCTACCGGAAGGGGACCAGACCTGGAGGGGAAGGCCGTCACCCCAAGCTTGAAAGAAATGCGCTTTCCCAGGGTCGCAGCCAAGGGAAGGGCCGCTTGACTTACTTGCTTTGATTTTACTTTTTCCCTTTAATTTTAAAAAAGGTCACGGGCTCAGTTCCCAGCTATTTAATGAAGCAGAGTCTCTGGGCTCCCAGACCGCTCTGGGCCGAGGTCGGGCCAGGACCACACACCTCGCCGGAGGCCCACCCCGCCCCTCACCCCCAGCAGGCAAGAAAGCGGCTCCCACTGAGGTCAGCTTCCTGGAGGGCAGCCGGGCAAGGCTGACCTCTCCGTGGTGACCCTCAGAGGTTCTTGGGGGCCAGGGAACCGCCCTCAGGGAGGGGCTGGGGGTCAACCACGGGAAGGCCCAAGTCCCAGGGCTGGCCAGGCTCTTCTGATGGGCCTGGAAGGAATGCAACGGGGGCTGTTCAGACAGGAGCTCTCACCCGGGTCTCAGGACGCTGTGGGCTGCCACCCCCGACTGTCGGGACGGCCTCCTCTGCACTGAGGGGACTTAGGGACAGGACCGGCCGAGGGGGCTGGTGGCCTAGAGGCGGCTAGAGAGGGGCTTTTTCCGGGGTATCGGTGGGTGGATGGGGGCCGAGGGCCAGAGCTGGGCAGTAACATACAAGGGGCCCAGTTGGGGGGGGAAGAGACCCACTCATCCCCTGCCTGTCCTCGGGGTGCCACGCACAGAGCACCCCCACCCTGAGATTTTGCGGCCAGCGACCTATCCTGAGGCCCAGGGTCCCCGGGGAGGCTCTGCCCAGGTCACACGGGCCCAAACCCCTCCTGAGCGCCACCTCAGTCCCCAGAATCCCAGGAGCGTCCCTGTGCCCCGGGACGGGGGCTCAGATGAGGTCAAGCCCCTGGGGGGTGCTGGCGGGGGGAGGCCACCTGCTCATCCTCCCACACCCCCAGGGGCTCCGTCCATGGGCCCAGGCCTGCTCAGAAACTTGAGTTCAGTCACAGAGCTGGAACTTTCAGAGCAAGAATAGCGAGGCCACCACCTTGGATTCAGGAATTTCACAAAACTCTGTTGCTTTCAGGGGTTCCACCAACCAAGGTGTAGAGAATTCCAAGTTGCAGGGACTTTCTTCCAGCTTTCTGGAAATCCCCGTTATCTTTACTCTGCACTGCCCCCCCAGCCCCCCCAAACCCAGGTCTATCTCACATGGGCCTCTCAGGCCCTGCCCCGCAGGCTCGATCCCGACAGTTCTGGCCACCCCGCGAACGGCTGCTTAAACCTCTGTACAGCCTGAGCAGGGCCATCCACCTCGACGGGCCGTGGAAACGGTGTGGCCGGAATGACCAGGGCACCATGGCTGAGTGAGCCGGGGCAAGGCACAGCGCTAACCAGTGCTTCCGTGTGCCCGTGGCGGGGTAGGGTGCCTGCTGGGCACTCAGCCCGCTGACCAGACCTGGACACAAAGCCTCTGGGCAGTTACTTTCTTCACCAAAACCCAGCTCAAGGCTGGGCGTGAAGCCCCAGCTTCCAGGAGGTTATTTTAGAAGCATTTATTCAAAACTCCATCACGACACATACATTTTTTGCTCATGAACCCAAGAAACAGTTGTCAATGAAGGCCCATTAATATCCACAGAAGGCCTAGTCTTAAACGTGACTAAGTTTAACCCTCTGTGGGACAGGTCCCGTATCTCCCTGGCCGCCTAACCCAGGTGCACTGCAGGTGCCTGGGGCCCCGACGAGCGCCCCGCACTCTCCTCGGAGGAAAACGTCTGGACAGAAAGAGTTCTGTTTTGT